ACTACTGAATTCCCCACCACATCCCAGAAGGTTTTGAAAAACTTGCCGGTGAACCCATCCGACCCCGGCGCCTGTTTCGACCCCATTGCAAACACCGTCCGACGCACCTCTGTTGGGAGAACTTCAGCCGTTAAGCTAGCGTTCATCTCAGCAGTGACCTTTCGATCAATCGGCAAAGATGCCACACGGTCCGCCATGTTACCAACCTGATTCTCCAAGGAGAAGAGGTGCTGATAGAACGAAGTGGCAATGTTAGCTTTACCATTCTCCTCCGTTACCCAATCCCCAGTCTCACTGCGAAGACCCTCCACAAAATTCTTCTTCCGCCGAGTTCTGGTTACAGTATGAAAATAAGCAGTATTTTGGTCACCCTTTTTCAACCAATGAACCCTCGATTTCTGCTGCCAGTAGACCTCCTCCGCCTCCCACTGACGATTCAACTCTATCTCTAGCTCACGAATCACATCCCAATCAATAGGGTGGATATTTTTAACCCTCTCAATTTCACTCTGGAGAGTTCTAATATTCCGCAAAGAATTGGTAGTGCCTGCCCTGCTCCAGTCATATAACAAATGGCGAAGACGCTTGAGACGTTCCCAAAGACAATACATAGGCGTACCCTGAATATCCTCCTGCCATACGTAGCAAACCATGGCCCGAACCTCCGGGTTCTCTGCCCACCGGGCATCAAACCGGAAAAGGGGACGGGTATTACGAGCGTAGGGCTTATCCGAGAGGAGGATCGCACGATGGTCAGACCCTTGATCCGTGAAATGTTTAACCAAGGTATCCGGAAACCGGTCCACCCAAGTCTGAGAACATAGGGCCCGGTCCAGCCGTTCACGAATGCAAGCGGGGCCCATCCTACGGTTAGACCAGGTGAAAGGATCACCAAGGAAACCTGGATCATGCAAACCAAGATCTTGAATAAAATCACGCAGACTTATCGAATGAGTAGCGTTCCAAGGGTTCCCACCATCTTTTTCACTCATATGTAGGGTCGTATTCAAATCGCCAATGACCACATAAGGGAGAGTAAGAGAAGAGCAGAGCTCGCGGAGGTGGGCCAATTGGCCAGCTCGAATATCAGAATGACAGCTAATATAAACACAAATCACAATATAAGAAAAATTAACTTCATTGATTTTGGAACAAATACAGAAGTTGGAATGATAAAACACCGAAGCATCAACTCCGGGGGACCAAGCTAAAACTAAACCACCAGACGCATCAACTGCATCCACAAAGAAACAATGGGAAATATCAAAGCCTAAACCCCGCATACGACGGGAAACAACACGCCTGCTCGATCGTGTTTCCGAGAAAAACACGAGCTCCGGCTTATTCGAACGAACTAAACCTACAACAGTTTGGAATGTGAGGGATGGTCCAATTCCCCTCACATTCCAAGCGAGGATCCTCATTTATCAGACTGGGGCCACTCCAGGCTGGCTTCCTCCACCTTCTCATTATTGTCAACTATCTCCACAAACTGTTTTTTCGGAGTTGGCGGGACACCCACCTCTCCCTCCACAACCTCAAGAGGTCTTTTCAGAATCCCCATAGACGGGACAAGCATATTGGAGCCATATTCATCCAGTTCCTCAACCGCCAATCCGCCAGTGTCACTTCCTCCCATCTCCGTCATAATGTCTACTCCATCCTCCCTGGACTGCTCCACCATCGTATCGGCAATGTTCAACCCTGCCTCAAAAGCGGCCACCACCTGGCTCACCCGGCCTTTGGAAGGAGTGCCCTTTACTGGGGGACCAGACTGCGGGGCACGTTTCTCGATCACAAAGCAGTTGTGATCATCCTCCGAGCCTGACCCCTCTGGAACTCCCCTCGGCATATGGGAAGAGCCCAGCTCCTCCTCCACGACTCCGGGTTGCACCACCACTCCCATTAGGATAACTTCTTCACATATAAAAAAATACATTGATTAAAGTGTAACCTATTTATAATAGTGCGGCTAATTCAAGAAAATATTTAGTGGAAATGTAATTGGGTGGCTACCCAAATCTAAACTTAATATTTTTCCTCAACCCTCCCTTCACTCTTGCATTGTTTCGATTGTTAACAAGATTATCTTAGTTAGTTATTACTTAGTGTATGTATTAGAGTAATAGAATAATGATTTGGATTACATTGCATTCTATATTATGGTATTATGGATTAACGGATGCTTTATGATAAGATGCTTTGAACCGTGTTAAGAATGATTGTCTCTTTGTCGATTTCATGATATAGTAGGTGGTGAACTCCCCATATATACATAAAATTTTAGGTGTTATCATGTTGGATGTACGGAGCGGGTATTACTCATGGGTACCCGAAACCCACGAGTATGGGGATGAGTTTGGAAAATCCTCCCCACATCCGTATGGATGTGACGCGGATATGAATTTAAATATTTGAAAGTGGAGATACAAATGGTTTAAGCAAACCCACACTGTTGGCATCCCTATATAACACCAACTTGCGGTAGGCTTTTAGTCGGGCCTACTTTTCTTTTCCGCCTGAATTTCTTGACCCGTCCGTCATAATCATCATAATATAATATACAAAATAACAAAACAAACAAACTTCATAACTTCATAACTTCTTGCACCACTAATTAAATACTTAAACAACTGTTTGGCTGCCATAAACCTGTCCACAGTTGTCTTAAAACTGCGGAAGGGCTTGTAATTTGTAGGATGGCATTAGGTGATAACCCTATAAGGATTAGCACCGTGATAACTAGCAAAAAACGCTACAAAAACAACGAAATCAATACGGATTATTATAAAATCAATACAACATCTAAACTAAATCACTACTAACCCTTGGTTAGGACGGTGCTAACTCTTGTACAATTAGCACCGTAACTCCTCCCTAATTTGTATTATGTCGCCGCCAAAAGGAGCTAAGCCTTAAGAGCACTTCTACTACTATGTTATATAGCATTGATGCTTTAATGTACAACTTGAAGTTGTACCATAACATTAAATGTATAAGTTTAGGTTGTACCATAAATTATCGTTATGTTAAAGTATAACTTTACAACTTGAAGTTGTACCATCACATAATGTACAAGTTTAAGTTGTACCATAAAAGAATTTGTACAAAAAATATAGATATAATATGAAGTTGTACCATAACGTTAAAGATACAATTTCAAGTTGTATCATAAAGAAAAAACTTATAGAACCAATATTGTATAGCATTGTAAAATTTTGCGTTTGGATACAATGATTTGGATTTGGTATTTGTGATTTGGATTTCCAAATACTAAATCATGTGTTTGGATATTAATTACATTTGGTATTTGGATTTGTGTCAAATTCATGGGGTGATTTCCAAATACATCTCTAGTGTATTTTTTGTCAACTTCAAATACATTTCAACAACTAGTGATTTGAAATACCTCCTAACAAAAGAATGGACCTATTTGTAAAATATGAAAAGTTTAGGTACTATAGTGCGAGGCAAAACATATAAAGGTACCAAAATGTAATTTTACCATCAAATTTTCAGGACCTTTTTGTAAAATTTTAAAATTTTAGGTACTAAATTGTAAAAAAAAAAAATTGGGTACCAAACTGTAATTTACCAAAATTTGTAGTAAGTGACCAGAAATTTAAAAATTGAAATTCAAAATCATAAAATACAAAATACAAACAAATTACAAATGAGTATCCAAACAATGAATTTGAATTACATGTATTTCAAATGCTAATATTTCAAATACATCCATTTCAAATGCTAGTATTCCAAATACCTTACATTTAAAATACACTTATCCAAACGCACCTTACTCATTAATTAAAGTGAAAATAGTCAAATACAAAAGATTTTTTGATCCGATCAGATACAACAAGCTGCACGTACCTGGAATATTTAATTCTACCAGCTGTCAAGCCCAGCCCACCAACACCAACCTCAATGTCCTCCTCTCAATTTGCTGTTTGCGACTACGAATCCATCGCCTTTGCCATTTCGAAAACCTCTCCCTCAGCGCGTAAACGATGCTAATACAGTATTAGGAGGAATTCTACTATATTATGTAATATTGGTGATTTAATGTACACCTTAAAATTGTATCATAACGTTAAATGTATAAGTTTAAGTTGTATCATAGAAAATTTTGTACAATTATATTATGGTACAACTTCAAGTTTCACATAAATGTACAAGTTCAAGTTGTACCATAAAAGAATTTGTACAAAAAGTATATGTACAATCTGAAGTTGTACCATAACGTTAAATGTACAATTTCAAGTTGTACCATAAAGACAAAAACCTATAGCACCAATACTATATAGCATTGTAAAATTCCTCATGTATTAGTGATGTGCTTATATTTTCCCGCACCGGAACTCGTATTGAATGTAAATTAATTGTACTCTCTGATTATTAACCGCGACAACTGAGGATGATTGACCTATATCCATGATTAACAAACATCACTATACATTATTTATTTGAACACTCATATCTTAATATTATTGATAATTTTCCCTATAATATATCTCTATGAAGAGTAATAAGATCCATATTATTAGTTTTATACTGACATAAATACCAATTGCGTCCATAAATTATCTATATTGTTCATATTAAATAAAAAACGACGTTATTTTGCTTTTTGGGTGTGGCTCGGATTGAAAGAGTGTTGGGTTTAGAAAAAAACTCATACACAACTTAACTCACCAATTTCAAAGAGGGAAAACTCGCACTAGAGCCAAAATCCGTCAACACTAAATTTTATCCGCTTTCAACGTGTTGGGTACCGTGAATTCGAGTTCAATTGCTATCACTACAAGCTAGTTCATTTTTATAGACCCTTGATTTTTTAAATGATTCACTAAACGTGTACCTTGTAGATGAATAAAACTTGTACATATTCATAGAATAATTTGTGTTGCTATCAAAAGAAATATTGCTCTTTTATATAATATGGCCTCTAGAATTTACAATACATCACAGAAAAAAAATTAAAATCACAATTATTTTATAATGAATACAACAAAACATATCAAGACGTTTGATGAGTTTTTGTTTCTTCCGTTAATATCCATGAGTGCATTCAAGCATTTCCAAAACTGTAGGTAGAAACTACAAAACTATATATGCTTATGCTCACTCAAAGTTCTCAACCGTGCGACTGTTTTGGCATATGTCCATGTTGCTGATGGAGTATCTTAGGTAGTGTTTGCTGGGAAATAAACAAACTACAGCTTATAAGTTATAACCGTGCACCCTCAATGAAGAACGCAAAAAGGACTAATTAGGTGACAATCATTTCAAATTAAAAGGATTCATAAGTAAAAGGATTCATTTCTAACATGACATCATATATTATCATATCAACATCATACAACTTTTTGAGATAATAGCGTGATATGACAGTAGTAAGAAAACCTGAAATGTTTTTGTTAAAAAAAAAAATTAAAATGGATATATCGTGTAGAGCACAATACATTGATATTTCTACGCAAGAAGTTTTGAACTCCTTAACGAATGAACTATGGTCCGTTAAATTTTCGTATGGGATTTGAAAAAAAAAATTAATATCTCACTTGAAATTGCGTATCAGTCCCAAAAATCCTGTCAGTTATCTCCCCAAACCCTACTTTCTCTCCTTACGTCTCTACAAAGATGACCATTAGATAACTTCTCTCGCAATCTCAACTAATACATTATGATTTTATAGTACTGCAAACCAAGGTTTCAGTGTGCTAGGCAGACATAGGGGTCCTGCCTAGCACGTAGGATGCATAGGCGGTGCCTATGCGTTTTAAACAATCATAAATTTTTTACATATAGCGATGGTGAAGCGTAAGAAAGAAGGTTGTGCCGACCGAAGTTAGATACAAACGGGAGAGGAACTCAAGTAGTACATATGACGATGTGGTTTTGGTTGTTTAGCGATCAACAATGGTGAAGAATAGGATAGAGCATTGGGTCGACCAAAGTTGGAGACGAAAAACACTCTAGTTGCAGACATTGTATTTTAGAGCATGGGAGAAGTTGTTGCAATTCAGAGAGCTATGTTGACCTATTTTTTATATATATTCCAATCGATGAAGGATGCATGTGTAGGATGGGTCATTGGGAGGAACTAATCGAACATAAGGATGTCATCATTTTGAGACATTTTAGTTCATTCATCTATTTTCTTATCTATAGTCACCAGACTGTCTAGCTCCGATTAAACGCGCATAACTCCGCCTAGACGGTGCCTAGGTATTTAAATCCATAATTGTTTGCCTAGACCCTAAGCGATGCATTTTTTCGCTGCCTAGCAAAACTACGCCTTATTAAACCCTGCTACAAACTATATAATATTTAACCCTAACCCAAACCATAATTAGTTACCTGATCAAACTGAAACAACATTAATACTTGACATGTTGAGTTTATGTATATAAAGCTTTGTGATTCCATCGATAGCGCCTGCAAACTTCAGGTACCAAAGACGTAACTTACCGAATCTCATGTAAAGTGTGCAACTAACCTCCGGTAGGGCACAAAGCGATAATTTTGAGGACACTCCTGTAAATATGAGACAACGTCAAAAGCACATTCGTCATTTTCAACTTCTCCCCTCAGAAATAGAGAAGAATAAAACCAAATCAGAAAATGAACAAACAAGAATTAAAAAAATGAAACCAAAAAATACAGGAAGAAATAACTAAGCGGAGGACAAGCCACGTTTGTTTTTAAAGCAGCCTTCCTTCCTTCTCTGCACCTTCTTCATCTCTCCCCTTTCCTTCTTCTTCTCCTCCTCCTCTCTCCCACCTGAAAATTTGGCCTCGTAAGCACACACGGTGAGAGAGAGAGAGAGAGAGAGCGGAAAATAGGGGGAAGAGTAAGAAGAGAAATAGAGCAGAGAAATTTATGCTGTTGAGATCGAACGATTGAATGGTGTGATATATTTAAGAGAGGGGGAAATTGTAGAAGAGAAATTCGGCCGTCAGTCGGCAGCTTAATTCATTCCTCTGTTTTCTCACTCTCTCTCTCTGTGTGGTTCTCTCATCTCTGTGTCTTTGTGGCGCACGCTCAAATCAGAAGCCCTCTGTCTCCCGAAAGACTCTGTCTTTCCTTCATTCACCACAGAAAAGAAGAAAATAATTACAACATTTTCTGAATCTCTCCACGTTTCGCTCTTCGTTCGCCACCATGATCTCCCTCAGCCGAACCTGTTTTCTGGTATACTATTTCTTCTTTTAAGGCTCGCCCTCTTCCTCTCATTACTCTCCATTTCCTCTTTGCTCGAAATCTGAAACGAGCTTTGTTTTCCACGCCCACGTACCCAAATTCTTCGATTGTTCTTCCGCCTTCTGCTAGTTTTCATTTCCTGATTTTCGTGTGTCTGGGTACGTCTTGTTTACGACGGCATTACATCTGTGGATTTTTGTTTCTGGGTTTCGATTTCTCTGTTTGGTTTGCAGGAAACCCCGGTAAAGTTTTTATTTTTTACATCGCCCCTGGTGAAGAACACAACTATGCTTTTATTGCGCCTTCAATACTTTGTCATGGAATTCAAATCCGGATATATTTTCTTGAAAATCATATGTTTAATTTCCCCTGATCTTTTGATGACGAAATGGTGATTTGGACGTTGTTTTCTGATACAGAATAAGGCGAGCATCGCTGGCTTGTCTAGCCCCTTTTCAGATAGGCAGAGAGGAATTGTCCCTAAAGCTCCTTGCTCGTTGAAAATCAAGGCAGCGGCGGCAGCAGCAGCTTCCAACCGCGATCGAAACGGCACCGTATTAGCAGTCGAGACGGTGACAAAAGAGATGGCGGAAGCAGAATCATTGATCGACGACTCTCAGCCCACCGTTGCTGGCGGAATCCGTGATGCGTACGGTGAGGATGCCGCCACCGAGGACCAGCCTGTGACTCCTTGGTCCCTCTCAGTTGCTTGGTATAATATACTAACTAATGTTGCTTTTTGATCTCTTCTACTATATGCAGTTTTGGCACGTTGCTTGATGGCATCACTTTGTCTTTCATGGTTTTCTGGTACATTTTTTTGGCTCATTGGTATCATCGAAGGAGGTTTCTTTGTCAAAGTTTGGTTCCTATGATGTGGCTGGCGTGATTGGTTTAGCTGGAGTTTCTCCAATAGCACGTAAATTAGAGATATGGTAGGGATAGGTTAGTTATTGTATGAGGTATATCGATTTGCTAGTTGCAGAGGCATGGATAATAGATTGATCAAAACATCAAGAGGTTTCCCGGCTGTAAAACATGTTAATTTTTTAAAAGGAAGACATCATGTTATTGATAGCTTCTTTTTGGTTCTTGGATTAGCTATAGTGGGTGGGTGATTATGTTAGTGTTCCTTGTTGTTTGTTGCTTTGAACTTTGTGTCTCCTTTCCATCATTGAAATGAATGGGAATGTATTTGTCATGCGGTAGATTGTTAATGATGCGTCCATGATTACTGCAGCGGCTACTCGTTGTTGAGAGATCCACGTCACAACAAGGGTCTTGCCTTCACTGATAAAGAGAGAGATGCGCACTATCTGCTTGGTCTTCTCCCACCATCAGTTCCTTCTCAGGAACTCCAGGTCATTGACCATAATTTTCAGTCTTTCTACTTATTATTCCGTATGTTCTTATATTGGTTTTCGGCTAATGTCTTCAAGTTTCTTACAGGTAAAGAAATTGATGAATATCATTCGGCAGTATCAAGTGCCACTACAGAAGTACATGTATATGATGGATCTCCAGGAAAGAAACGAGCGCCTGTTCTACAAGCTTCTCATTGACCATGTCGAGGAGATGCTCCCAATTGTCTACACTCCAACAGTGGGAGAAGCTTGTCAGAAATATGGTAGCATCTTTAGCCGTCCTCAGGGTCTTTACATCAGCTTGAAAGAGAAGTAAGATAAATTTTATTCTCTCAGCAATAGCTACTACCAGGATCAAACTAGATTTTCTGCTGTGATTATGTCATGTCATCCATATGAAGGCGAGATGTATCTTCTCCTTTTTTCAGGGGTAGGATCCTCGAGGTTCTGAGGAACTGGCCTGAGAAGAATATTCAAGTTATTGTTGTCACTGATGGTCAAAGAATTTTGGGGCTTGGGGACCTTGGATGCCAGGTTAGCTCTCTGTACTTAGTGCATTAGCCTTAGTTCTCATGAACACCCATGTAGACATTCACTTGACTGATGTCACTTGATCTCACAGGGAATGGGAATACCAGTTGGAAAGCTCTCCCTATATACCGCTCTAGGTGGAGTTCGTCCTTCAGCTGTAAGCAACAGGATTAAAATTTGAACTTATTGATATCCTCTGACTCGGTATTCACAGAAAAAGGCGATCTGACTTTCTTGTAGTGCTTGCCGATCACTATTGACGTGGGTACGAACAATGAGAAGTTGTTGGACGATGAGTTCTACATAGGGCTTAGGCAAAGACGAGCAACTGGACAGGTATACATAGATTCTGCCTACTGCCTTGCATTTTTAGTTTGTACGCATTTAGTTTCCATGCTAAAGATGAGATTTTTTTTTTGTAATATTTTCCTTATTTGGCCCTCTAGGAATATGATGAATTACTACATGAATTCATGACGGCAGTGAAGCAGAACTATGGCGAGAGAGTCCTCGTTCAGGTATTGGAAACTGGCAAAAAGATATTGTCAAGCTAATTACTGCATTCTATATTGTTTCTTGACAGTCCAAACATACCTTTCTACACTATTTGCAGTTCGAAGACTTTGCCAATCACAATGCATTTGATCTGCTTGCAAAATATGGTACAACACATCTTGTATTCAATGATGACATTCAGGTATTTGTTCTTTTCCCTTATGGTGCTGTAGAAACTTAAGATAGGACGTTCTAATGCTTTTTGTTGTTGATAATTCAGGGCACAGCAGCTGTGGTCCTTTCTGGGCTCATGGCAGCACTGAAATTGCTTGGTGGAACATTAGCGGATCACAGATTCCTATTTCTTGGGGCTGGAGAGGTGAGTTGAAGTCAAATTGTTGACATTTTCATACATGGTGTTGAGTGAAGATGGCATTTATCGATCTGGTGATTAGCAAGGTAATGGTAACAATGATAGTCTTTTGTTTGAATCATCATGGCAGGCTGGCACTGGAATCGCAGAACTGATTGCCCTTGAGATATCCAAACAGGTTCAGTGCCCTGATGATTATTATTATTGCTGTGAATAATAGATGTAAAAGAGAGTTTTGACAACGGAATGCATGTTTTTCTTCTTGCAGACACAAATGCCACTAGACGAGGCTCGTAAGAACATTTGGCTTGTGGACTCAAAGGTTGAAGGAAAAACATGTACCTGTTTCTCATTTTAGGAGTTATTTCATTTCGATTATTTGAGTGCTTTTCTTGGTGAATGTCATGCAGGGTTTGATTGTAGAATCCCGCAAGGAGTCCCTGCAGCACTTCAAGAAACCCTGGGCTCATGACCACGAGCCTGTTGAAACCCTTCTTGAAGCTGTCAATGTGAGATTATCTCTCCATCTATTTTGTCCCACGTAAATTATCTGCAAGATGCCAAGATTGCTTTGTGCCTTAAAACTTTCTTTTTGTTATTCGACAGGATATAAAGCCAACGGTATTGATTGGAACGTCAGGAGTAGGAAGAACATTCACTCAAGAAGTGGTTGAGGCCATGGCCTCTTTTAATGAGGTAAATTTCTTTCAAGGTTATTTGGTTGGGAGCATTTGGGAGAGTTGTTTTTGCAACAGAATGTAACTGGACGAATATATGGGTTTCTATTGACACTTTAGACGTACTTGAGTGCATTAGAAATTGCATATGCAACCTCATGTGTATAAAAATGATTCTTACTAACTCAGTTGTTGTATTATGCATGCAGAAACCTCTGATTCTTGCACTCTCCAATCCCACCTCACAGTCCGAGTGCACAGCTGAACAAGCATATACATGGACTAATGTAATGCAGAATCAGAAACATCTGCTCGGTGGGGGCTTTTGGTTGAACGTGCTTTTAACAAATCTCTCTTTTCATTACTGTAGGGTCGCGCGATATATGCCAGTGGCAGTCCATTTCCCCCAGTTGAATATGAGGGCCAAACATATGTCCCCGGGCAGGTAAGGAAGTGAAAACGAACTCTTGACGTTGTGAATTCTTTTCCTTTCTGCTTTGTACTTCCCTGACTTGACTCGATTCACGTCTTCTCGGGTTCTTGACAGTCGAACAATGCGTACATTTTCCCTGGTTTGGGTCTAGGCTTGATCATGTCTGGTACAATCCGTGTTCATGATGATATGCTTCTTGCAGCATGTAAGTGGACGAGGAAACTTTGGTTTCTTAATCCGTTCAGAGTGCTTGGTTCTCAATTAGTTTGCATTTCTCTGGTGCAGCGGAAGCTTTGGCTGCTCAGGTTACTCAAGAAAACCTGGATAATGGACAGATATACCCACCCTTCACTAACATTAGGAAGATCTCGGCTCACATTGCTGCCAATGTGGCTGCCAAGGCATATGAACTGGGTAAGTACAAATTTTGATTCCCCGTGTTATTCGAGAAAGGGAATAAGAGACCCTCTGTTGCGTTGTAGTTGATTTGTTTCTCGTGTTAATGATTAAGGCTTGGCAACGCGCCTTCCACGACCGAAGGATCTGGTGGCGTATGCTGAGAGCTGTATGTACAGCCCATCTTACAGAAACTACCGGTGAAAAGGCTGAGCTCTCAGCAGAAGCAGCAGGAGAGAGGGCACCTGTGTAGCCAGTTGGATCTCTGGTTTTGTTATTTCTCTCATTCAAGTTGGTTAACTTAGTGCTAAAAAAAAAAGGGTTTTTACTTTTGATCATAAAAGGGGAATTGTCAGCTGGTGGGTTTGTTAAATTTTTATTTTTTGGGTAAGTTTGATTGTTGCTTTGGTCATAAAGACTTACAGATTTGGATGGGTAGGAAGGAAGGAAAAGGGCAGACCTTTAAGATAGGTGGTGGTAGCTGGATCAATGCAAGTCTTCAACAAGTTGTGTTCTTGTGAGACTTCATAGGAACACAAAAAAAAAAAAAAAAGGTGGCGGGGCTAGCTTACTAATACATCAAGCATGAAATTAATTTTTTTAAACGATCTTCAGTCTCTTATTTAACACCTTCGGAGTCATCATATGGACAATACGTAGTCCAATTCTAAGGAAAGAGTTTATTGTTGTTCCACTTCCACAAGTGCGTTGTGAAATATAGCCCAAGCTAGGGTTGGGTGTGATTACCTGTCCCACATTTTGTGTGGGTAACCACACCTACGTACACCTACAAATATAAAATTATGCTACTCATAATCCGTTCCGCAGTGGGTAGTGATGTGGGTGTGGTTACCCGCCTCACATTTTGTGGGTAACCACACCTACAAATATAAAATTATGCTACTCACAACCCGTTCCGCAGTGGGTAGTGGTTAACCACTACCCGTTGCGGGTTAATTGTGAATACCCACAAAAATTTTACATTAAATATAATAATATGGTAATTAAATAGTGATGTTATGTTTCTACTCAAACAAAAACATATATAAGAGAAAGTTAATAGAATGTTAAATAAATTATAAATCTCGAATACAATATGTTAGTTAGTGTAAATTCAGAAGAGATGGATTTGGAAAGAGGTTTGAAGATAATGGAGAGGCGGAGTCACTTGTTACCAAACAAACATCGTTGCATATCACGGGCTCACGGCTCCTCCGATGCTAACAATAGCAAAACACAAAAGTGGCTCGATAAGTGGAGGTGCCCGCTTTTATTGATCGATTATTCTCCACTCTCGATTATAGTATTGTATCGTGGAGAAATGGAGATGAGTTTTGGTATCGGACTAACCTTTATCGATTATTCTCCTCTTTTAACGAATCGATTAATTTATCTGATTATATCTATGGACTTGGTTTTGTTATAAAATAAACATATACCACACGGACAATGCTTATTTGATAAATGTATCTCACATGAACATTGCGTATTGACTTGGTTTTGTTTTATAGAATAAGTGCGTATTTGATTTTGGTAACTACTTTAATTATTAATCCTCCAAATTTCACAAACTAATATAACTAATGTGGGTTACAAAATATTTTGAAGAAATAAATATAACTAATGTGGTTAATATGAGTTTTGTGGGTAAACCGCTATGGGTAGTGGTTAACCAATAACCACTAACCACAAAAATTTTTTTTTGCTACCCACACCCAACCCACTATCCACAAATTGTGGGTATGGGTATTCACAAAGTGTGCGGTGTAGTGCGGTTTGTGGGTTACCCGTAACTCGCAAACCAAACTTCCACCCGTAGCTCAAGCTATATGTTATACAAGTTTTTAATAGCTTAATTTGGTTTTTGCTTGATTGAGATTTAATAAATTGCAGTTTTTGATTTTTAACTTTGGTAACTTTACTTTATTCCCTAAATTTACTTTATTCAAAAAAAGAAAAAGTTACGTAGTACTTCACACTCAAATCCCAACAGCTGATCAATTTAATAGATTGTTGAGATTAAAAGCTAAATTTAATCTCGTTCTTTAGTTAATTGACTTGCATATTCTTCAACTGATTTAATCTGCACAAGGGTATCCATTTTATATATTTGGGGAAAAACAATTCGGCCAATGTTACCTGGTCGTTGAATTTCATGAAGCTATGAAGGGCTTCTCGCTATTCCCTCACAGGATTTTTTTTACAGATTTGCTTCTTAAACGCAACAATTTTCCAGACAAGACTTAATGTTGTGTTTAATGGCCTGTCAATTACACCCTTGGGATAGTAGCATGTAGGCAGGGATTTTGTTGAAGGGCTCAAATTATATTCGAAGAGGTTTTAGACAAGAGGGAGTCATTTGTTCCAAATAGAAGGCTGTTAATCCCTAAGATTGCCTAGGTGCTAAACTCAACCTCTACATACTCTGTATGCTCTCGAAACGCAGGATTGGAAACAATATGCAAGGCATCCTGATTATCACTGTAAAGAGGGGTAGGAACTGATCGTAGAGATCTAGGTAATCTTATGATGCGCTAGGGTCGTATTCACACGGTCTTTTAATGCATAATTACTCACACCATACCATCTATGCTACACGAAATAGACAAGCATCTTTAGGGGTTTTCATTCGAATAACGAGCAATGGAAAGTAAAGCAAATAAAGGTAAACTTGTTTAGGGATTTTTCAAGTTATAGATGCATAAAAGTAAAGATAAGTTATTGTATAAGAAGGTAAATCTTGAGTATCATCATGCATACTAAATCTCTATCATTTCAAGCTATAGCATCACTCTTTCCCTTCCACTAAGGTCATTCTCTACTCGTACATGTGCCTCTTGATATAGAAATTTAACTAGCTAATGCATGCTTTTGCTTCATGCCATTACCTAATTAATGAGGAACAAGGAAGTTAGAACAACACATAATTAAATGTTGGCCTCTTGAGCCATTATCGATGGTCTATATCATTGATGATCTAACAATCAAGTATTCATACTACTTGAGGTATAGATGGGCGATCATTCCCTCTATACTCGTGTAGCATCAATGGGGTATCACTATAGTGTAATTTCTTAACAATCTAGATGATACTAAACACAATGCATATAGTAGCACACTATAGAGTCATACACATCAATAATAAGAAGTATTGAACTAAATGAGCATCAACATCATACACATAGGCATTGAAATACAAATTATCCATGCATACATATAGTGCATAAAAAATCACAAGCATAATATGAAATCCTAACATCAATACATACATAGAAAAAAGAGTTCACATCCTCATACAATCAATTTCGAACTAGCTAGACATAGAAGAGAAGGAGGGTACCACCATAGATGCTAAAAGCATCTCCCTATCTGCACCCTCTCCTACGAATGCTAAACTCTCACTCGAGAAAAGTGTCTATAGTAGTTTGGTGAATTTGTGCAACTTACTCAACTAATGAGCCTAGCCTCTATTTATAGGGATAGAACTCGACCAAAACCCTACTAAACCGACTAGGACAATGTTTCTTTGACTTGGGGTCGAAGTCATGGCATAAAGATCTCTATTTTTGATCGGGCCTCTTGGCGGCGTCTAGGTGGTGGTTAGGAACACTGCTCTTTTTCTTCTTGGGATGACCTTTTTAGACCATGGACAACCTCTCCTACAAATGTGGACGCGGTTTATCCAGTTTTCCATTGGCGCGCAGTTGGAGCACCATACTTTGCTCCTCAGTGCGCCAAGAAACTAGATCACCACCAGCCATATCTGATTTTGCAATTATATGCCATTCTCAAGAGAGAGAAAGTGAAGAGAGATGTTGAGAGGGTGCGCGACCGGGGGGAGGTAGGAGAGAGTGGGCATTCTTTGTTTTGCAGGTCGGAATCATGTGGATTCAAAGTAGGCAATGGATGTGCGACAGACGGTTGCAAGTGACGAATCATGATGGTTCCAAAGATTGTGTTAGTGTAAAGATGGTGTTGCCAGGGACCGGGAAGGGGGGTACAGGTTGCAAGTGGAGAGCGGGGGAAGAATTTGGAAGTTTTTTCTAGGCGAGACACTGATTATTGGGTTCAGGGGGTTCTGCAAACGACTGCTAGGAAAAGTTGGAATCTCCCGAAAGGATGTGTGAAGAATACCAGAGGAAGAGCCATTCATATTGGCAGGGCTAGAAACCGATTGGGTAGCTATATCCAGATTTCAGCACAGGCTAGGAATGGTAAGATTTTAAATTTGATTATCCCTTAGGTAGGTGGAAGGGAGAGGCAGTTGTGCTCCAGTCATCAAACTTCTGCAGGATTTATACAATGCTGAACTTAAAATGAGGATAAAGTCATTCTTTAAAGTGGATGATTTGCAGGCTCAACAAGTCACGGGGGTGTCAGATGTGAAAGGTCCAAGGAGATCTTATGCAGAAGCAGTTAAGGGTACCGATATCTATGTTGTTGGGAAATGCATTTTCAGGAAAAGTGAAACCAACCGGATTATTGAGGTCAAGAAAGATGGGTGCAAGAAAGAAGAGAACTACTGTCTACTGGGTAGGAGCTTGGTTATTAGTTTCATTGCGGAAGGTGATGGAGCTATTACGGCAAGGGATTTGGCAAGTTTCTGAAGATGGGCGTACACGAACTGGGCGATTGATGACAACTTTGCTTTGGAGGATAGGGCTAACAGTAGTTGGTGACTGGTTTGTCCAAGCATATCAGAAGCTCTCCGGATAATAAATCCGGATCATCTTAGGTTTAAAGGTGCGTCCATTGTCGTTTCACGTGGAATGAGGAGGAAGCCTTCTATAATGGTGATGACGTGTGGATCCTTGTATTTGACATTCCTTTGCATATGAAGAGCATTGATCTTATGAAGGCTAGTGGGAATTGTTGTAGCAAGTTCATAGAGATCGACTGGAATTTGTTGTTCCTTCCTTATGTGCAGATCAGGATTAAGAAGAATGAGGATATTACAGGAGAAATTCAGCTTCGCTGTGAGAATTAGGTTTTTTTCGTCGAAATTGTAAAACTGCCGGCGAGAAGTGATGACGAGTGGATTTTGATGGGAAGGAAAACGAAGATTTGCGATAGGAATAACGTTGCGTCGTTGGAAATCTCTCAAATTTTGGATCTGCATGCAGACCATGGAGAAGATTGAGGAGGTTCAGTATCTTCAACAGACTCCTCATTTTCCTAAGGAAAAGGCAGGGGTACTAGGGTTGTTGTGGATAAGAGTAAGGTTAAGAAAATATGGGCTAGTAGGGGTGGGAAACGGTGCGGTTGCGGTTAACTGCACCGAATAAGCGCGGTTAACCGCCACCGCACAAGGGGAAAACCATCCACCGTTACCGCAATGCAAACGGTTTGCGGTTAACCACTAACCGCAAATCACGGTTAGCGGTTAATTGCGGTTAACTGCACTTTAAACCGCACACCGCGATTAAGAGTTAAATGGTGTAAAAAATCGCGAAATGAAATAAAACCGCAACAAAAACCGAATTAACTTGTAAAATCCAGCAACATGCACTTGATAAATTAACACTAAAACAAGGAAAATGCACCTGAAAAGGTCAGAAACAGAATTAAGTTCTAAACATCCAAAAGAAACCATCCACATTAAGTTCTAATACGGAAAATGCACTTGGAAAATTCATTTTGGGTTGTTGGATGG